TTCTAAAAAATTTCAACCCTTTCAAGGCAAAAATGCACATTCTCTGCGCGTTGAAGCTTTTCCGGGGGAGATGAATGCCCTGAAAATCAGATGGTTGCTTGGAACCAGGGTTATTGCGAATATTCGCATTCGCATTCGTAACCGCGGAGCTTACGCATTAATTTCAACATTCGCATTCGCTTTCGCATTCGCAATAATCAATGCGGAGCTTTTGCGAATGCGAATGTTGTGCAAGTGCACCGATAAAACGTATATATGGCAAACAAAATGACAAATTGTAGCCAATATTTTTGCCTGGCGACGTTAGGTCGTGTTACTCTGGTGCCGCACATGGGAGTATTTGTGTAACAAAACTGGTCAAATGTCATATTTATCAACTTTGATAAAAATTTCTTTAAACATATTATTTCTTAAGCTATATAACCGAGCTATCAACTGGCAGTCATACAAGCTCCCACTTCTACTTGACCTTTGACGTACATACGCCAAAGAGATCGTAGTCCTTTTAACAATACTTTTTTTTTTGTTTTCTCTTCTTTAAATTCCTGCATTGGTTTTGTTCTTTATTATGATTTTTTTGGACCAATTTTAAAAACGCTACTAGACACAAAAGAAGAAAGTGTGCACTGTAATTCCTAACCAAATTTTCGTGATTTGCTTTTGATGTTACATACATATATTCGTTTCAATAATTTCAAATGGGGCTCTTTGGGGAATTTATTTTTAGCAAAAATTTTAGCAGTCATTTTGTTTACTTGTCGAGCAATATTTTTTTGATAGGGATATACATTGGATCCTTGGCTAAAAACTTCTGCGGTAAAACTTTCCCTTCTTTGCTATTTAAAGTGAAAGAGTATGCTCCGTCAGTAGGGATTTCCAGCAGAAATGATCAACGTTTCGCTATAAAGAGAATCGATGCTCAAATAATTAAAAAACTATAGGTCTGACCTTTAATAAGATAAGAATTACGTAACTATCTGAGATTAAAATACTTATAAAGAACAGGGAGCTTTTTTTTTAAATAACAATATTCTGATCCGATTCGGCTGGCAGCCACGACTTTGCAACCAGAATTTTGTTCAAAATGTTCATTCCTGGAAAATAATAATTTATTTTTCATATCCACTTATTT